TTCTTCAACTTCCATATTAATTAGTTCTGGGACTTGCACAGAACTGCTGCCTCCTGCTTTTACCCTTATTTCTGATATGTGGTCAGTCTTCTTCTTCTTTATTAGCTTCATAGGCATCAAATCCTGTCTACCTCATCCTGCTTTCACTTGGAGAACAGTATGATGAATATCTTGCTCAATAATGGCAGTCATTCTTTCAATTCCTGATTCATAGCAAGTAAACATTTGTTGAAAATCAACATCTATCAATTGCATAGCTTCTGCAAATAAGGGGTGTGATTCTGGCTGTAAGCTGCTAAATCCTACTTTGAGTTTAGTAATTAATTTCCAAAGAGCTTCTTAACGATCCTTAACAGACTGTAAACTTCTGCTCACTGACCGATCTCTAGCAAATTCTGAAATTAATAAGTTAAGTCAGTTATACTCCGTTTGTATCATTTTAATATTTTGCTTTAGATTCTCTGAATTAGTCATCTGTCCAGTCATATTTTCCTTTATGAACTTCACTCCGAATATTTTCAGAGCCTCATCAAAGATAAAATAATGCTCCTCACATGTCAAGTTGATTAAAGGTACCACCTGAAGAGCTTGAAGAAATCCTGGCTTGCTTTAAAGGTCTAACAAAAATTGTATCACAGACGCAGCATATCTTCTTTTTCCTGTTATAGGAAATAAAGAAGTGAAGGCTATCAAGCTATGTATTTGCAGATCAAAGTTTGCCATGTGAATACCAAGCTTGTGCAATTTCAAGTATCCTGCCTATTGGTAAAAGTTATATCATACTTTAAGCAGATTGTTATTTGTTGTGAGGATATCACTAATAGAAATATTTTCTTCCTGAATATATAGATGAATCATAACTCTAATCACTATTCAAATGAGTTCAAGTACTCGAAATGTTGTCCAATAATTAGCAACTTATTCAAGTCTGTCAAGAAATCAAACACCAAGCTGTGTGGTAAGTCCAAAAAGTCCGTAATCAGAAAAGACAGCAATTAGTGCACTGCACATTGACTTGTTAGTATGCTATTGTCCTAGAATGCAATACATTATTTGCTCTTCATTCTTGTAATTTTTCATGCGATAATAAATTGCTTCATCACACATCAAATATAATACACTATTCTCTATATAACCAAAGTCTTTGAGAAACATGTCGATGGCCTGATGAATGTACTCATTTTTACTTGGAGCTTCTCCAGGCTCAAGAATCACAATATTTGGAGATGCTACAAATAATGCTAAGTTAATATATTTTTTAATAATTGTATCAAGGTGTTTAACACCAAATTTCTGCCCTTCATTAATTAATTGGCCAAAGATGATATTAATTTTTTCTTGCCATTTTTTCATAATAAAACTTCTGCCAAATAGGTTTGGATTTTTCAATAATTCTTCGTTTACATTGGCAAGTGCTAAACATTGAAACTGAAAGACCATCTGCAATATCGCATGTGCAGTACTACGAGTTGTATTAAAAATATTATCATATTGAAAAGTATTATCTTTTATATCAATATTATCGATAACTACAAGATTCCAAATATTCAGATGCAGGTTGAGCCTTGACTGAGATTTTGCAGCTAATATTCTTTTTTTTTGAACACGCACTTCATGATCTCTAATATATGATACTACCTGAACTGCGTAAAGAATTTTGTGTAAAGATCCTATCATTTTTGGTCATCGACAAAGAGAAGAAAGAACATGTGTAAACCATATTTTCTAATAGTGAAAGGCAATAGTAAGTAAAATAGAAGTGAAAAAGAGAGATAAGACTTTAGTTTTTTTTTCATCTAATTGTAATGGAGGTAAGTTTCTCTTCTTTTGTTTTCTATTTAATATCTGATTCCTCTTTTCTTCTAGAACCGAAACCAAACTAATAAAAAGGTTTAAAAGAGGTGACAGCATAGTATTGTAATATTCATTCAGAGATTCTGATTCTTTGAGTGATGATAATTTCTGCTTGAGTTCTGATTGTACTTGTAATACAGAGTGGACAAGTATTCTTCCAAAGTCCTTGCATGTAGTAGTTTTCAATTGCGTTACTTATGCTTCTTCATTAACATCAATTTTTTTGATAGCAAACATTATTTTGATTAAAAAAAGACTTGGAACTGTGAAAATAATAGAAGACATGCCAACAGTATTCTGTATCTTGGGTATATCCATGATAAGGTTACCAAGAATATTGACAAGCTCTTTTAGTAAACTAACTTTAATAGTTTCATTTTCTGATGTAATAGTCTGTTCAATCCATTTACCAAATAACTTCAAAGCAAAGGTAGTATCAGTATCATATTGCCCTTGTTCTAAGCATGAAACTGATCATTTTCCTTTGCCTGGCTAAATATATAGATGGCCTCCATGTATTACAAAGCAGTTTATGCAAATAAAACAAGGGTGATTATCAGTAAATGACTTAGTCGATAATCTATTATATAAAATTATTGCTGGACAGTTAAACAATTCACAGCATAGAGCTTGAATTACATGTTCATACACTTTTCATGCATGTATTGAACATATTTTACCTCTTGTAAAAAAGCATTGAAGTTTCTTGCAAAATAAACAGTAGCGTGATGTAATAATACTTTCTTCAGTTGTTCATACTGCCTTTATACGTCTTCCTGACTCAGGTTTATGTACAATATTTTGGTTATAGTTGAGATGATACAAACAAATATCCAGCTTTAAAATCTCATTTCCAACTTCTTGCATAGCCTTAGAGTCAATCTCTCACGTACCAGAAAGTTATTCCACACCATGAACTCCTACATTATTGGACCTTTGGATTATGTGTTGATTATTGTCATTGTCAATAATAACATAATATGTTAGTTTAATAGCATGATTTGCAAGAGAAGGAATAGTTCTTTCAAATTTCTCCTCAAATATTTCCATCTCATTATCACTTTTGATAAATTCATCATCTGTTTCCTCAGTATATCTGGTAGTTATTTCTCATGCTCTCTTAAATGAATACCAATCGAATATGAGAACTCCCTCATTATATGCCATCATTTGTTTAACATCAATGCTGGATTCTTGGTTAAAGTCATCATAAATCTCCTCTTCATGGCCAAGCGAAGCTTCAGGTAAGAATTCCATAATTTTTTGATTTTTGATTTATTTAATATAACAATTTGAATAAAACTAATATTATAGCACTTTGGCTTACAGTGTATATTTATAGATGTGTATTGCAACAATAGCATTTGGTTAACAATTATAATTGCAATTCCCTTTTTGAATTTCAATGCACATTTATACATATACTATTATTATTAGGTGAGAATAATGTATATAATTCTATCAAGAAAAGATTCTTTATTTTTATGTTTAATACTTTAATAAATATACATTAAAATTTATTATTATCAATCATCATTACTATTATTCTCATCATCATTCTTTACAATTATATTATTATTTTTTATATGTATAACCTAATTGATAGCTAGATTATTACCCATCATCTTTAAATAAATAATTGGTTTTCTCCCTTATCAAATCCATTAACAATTGGTTTTTCGTTGATACTACATCACTTACCAACCTAATAAAAAGTGAGAGGATGAGTATAGGCAAGAGTGAGAATAGGGGTCAAGCAAAAGTGAAAGACCGAATGGATAAGTAATATATGAGAGTGATATCTGACTCCTGATATCCGCATCTTGAACTCTTAGAATTATAAGAATTCAAACAAGATGATCTATTAACTCGATAACTTAGTTCCCTATTCAATTATCTTCTCCCAAATATCTATTTTGTGAATATTCAAATCATCATGTTTGAGCAAAGAAACTAGTGAGTCTCTTGTAATTTTGCAAAATTATTTAATTGAAAAACAAAATATTATTCTTTATTTGAATATATACATTTTGATATCCTATTACTGATAGCCTCTTACGGTTATAACCTAATCAATTCAACCAACCTAACCAACCCACCCAACCCGAAGCCTTATAACCACTCCTGATAACTTGTAACCCAACCAACCCAACTAACCTAACCAACCCACCTAACCCGAAGTCTCATAATCACTCCTAATAACTTGCAACTCATCTTTATATAGTCCATAACCACTTCTGGTGGTTTGTAATTACATCAGTAGTTCATAACTACACTAACTGCTTCAAAAATCTTTTCAAATTGATGAGATGGGAAGCTCTATAGTGTTGCCATTATTATATACTATAACATGACGAACAATCTTTACAGATGAGATTATTCTCAGCTTTATTTTTTATCCCCTTTCAAACTTGTATATAAGAAAGTACTTGTCTTACTGAACTGTAGCATAGCATCGCATGAGTACAGTTTCTGTTTAGGAACCTTTAAAAAAATGAATAAAGAAGGCTGCTACTGTAATTTACATATAAATAATGAGATGTCGATCTCTCAAATTATATAGAAGAAAATTTACTCCACAGATCTGCGTGACAAATCGTGTGACTGATATATACCACAGAAGGTCATAGAACTTTTTATGCATGATGTAATCATGTAACCTGCTGATTGTAAACTGATTAACATATGACATTTCTATTCCGGTCGAAGTGAAACACTTGATCAATTACGAAATAAATGATCACATGGACGGATAATCTGAAACATGTATTATGCAAACTAAGCTGAAATACTCAATTCTCATAGTTCCATGGTATTTAGTTTAAATACGGCTATAAATATTACATTATATACAGTACATCAAGCCAATAAATCAAGAAAAAACAATAACTGAAGCGAAATTATCAAATAGCAATCTAAGTAACTCTTGGAACTAACTTTCGTCACATTGGCTCTTCCAGTTTGACAGAAAATAATGCCAGTGCTTTGTAATGAATGTCGAGGTAGAAAAAAAGTTAAGTGTTTGGCAAGTGGATGTGATAAAGGAAAAAAAATGAAAGGTAACCCACATAAACTTCAGAAATATTATCTCCGTCATTCTTATTCTGACATTCTGTATCTTTATTTCCTTTCATACTATCGCTAAGAGTGTAATATCTGCCGTGGTGCTGGTATACTTCGAAGACTTAATGAGACTTGTCCTAGATGCAAAGGTGAAAAAGTTTTTCCTGGTATGTGTTATACTTGTGGTGGGGATGGTGAAGTAACTTGTTCTCGATGTGAGGGTAGTGGATGGCTATCTGACTGAAATTATAAAGAAAATATTCTACCAAGGAGGTTTGAAGATCAGAAATATTTTTATTAGGATAGTTTTATTTAGTATATCATCATTTTAACTATTATAACTATTTATTATTCAAGAATTAGATGTATTATAGCATCCATGCTAATTCATTCTATTAGTTTAGTTGACGTTTGTCTTATTGATATTCGCATATACAGTATGTGATACTTTTATTTTATCCAATGACGTGCGTTGTGGAGATTTTTTGTGGATTTTTGATGTTGATAGAATTTTGCGAGTGTGAGACCTATTTCTTCGGATAGGACATTGTACAATTTTGTGGAGAACGTTTTTCTCTCTTTCTTCTTTCGTTAAATATGGCCGTAAATTCGACCCAGAGAGTTTCGATTTCGGTGGGATATTCGGATCTGAAACTTTGCACGGATACTTGCCCTAATTATAGAATACAGGTATACAAGTAATAAGTTTCGCTCTAAATAAAATATGGGAGGTATTAAATTTGCAATTGTTCACAAACCTCTACTTCGGGCTTCAGACTTCCATTCCGCTTCAGTTTCCATTTGTGCAATTTTGTTTTGTAAAGCCAAAATATCTTGTTTAAATTTTTGCGTAACTGGATCCATCGTAATAGGATCTGGGGTTGGGGCTGGAGATGCGTTTTTTCGAATAAATATACAGTGTGTAACAAAAGTTTTTGGAATTATATTTTAGTCTATTGTGTGATGAAAAAAAAAGCCAAATTGTCCAGAATTTATAATTATATTTTGTATAATATAGAGAACAAATTTACTTAAGGACAGTTAATAGATTATCTTTCTTAATTTATAAATTAATCTTGGAAAAAAAATATCGAAAAAGTAATTATAGGTAAAAAACAACAAAAACAATTTTTATAAAAAATTTTATTAAGATATTTAATTAAGTAACTTTAAGTAAACTTGTTTGTAATAACATGAAGAACATATTTGAAATCTTTATGTAAGATTTTTTTTTGCTTTATACAAGTAATAACAAAATTTTTTGAGTTTTGAGTTTTGAATTTTTGAAATTAGATAATATTTTAATAAGATAACATATTGAATTGCCATAAGTAAATTTGTTTCTTGTATAAAAATACATATATTTATAAACTTTTATCTAATTCTGTCATACTTTTTATATTAGAAAAAAATTCCAAAAACTTTTATTACACATTATAAATAGAATTGTAAGGATGGTATATACTGTTATATTTCTCTGAATGATTATATAAAGCATCTTCATAGTTAAGATATCCTGGTGATATAATTCATAGATCATGATTATGATGATGAAAATTATAAATAAAATAATATCAGATACATTGAATTATATTTTAATCAGGAATAATTATTTGATTAATTATTATATATCTTTGATAGATTTTATTATATAATTGATAATTTGATAATATTTTCTTATATGTTAAAGATACTAGTTCCATTATCTACATATTCTGCAATTTTGATCTATTTTATATGTACTGAAAAATAATAATTTTACATATTATTAATTCTTTAATTTTTATTTTAATTCAAGATAATAAATTATTAATAATCATAATGAAGCTAGTTTTATTATTATATGTTGAAATTATAATTAAAGTAATTTATGAATTTATATTTATATCAATAATCTGTAATATTGATTCTTTATATTCTATACTAATCAAAAAATAAATTATTAATAATATATATTATATATTTAGAATTATGCAGAATATAAGCCTATCATATGATCTGCTGATTATTAGAGATATCTCTGATTATTACTAAAATCATGAAATAAGTACTATTACTTTATACAGAATAAATTAGAAGATCATGAAACTTTTCATATATAATGTAATCATATAACTTGCTAATTTTTTAATTTGATTAATTAACTTATAATATATGTAATTTCTTTGTGAAAAGTTTTTTTATCATGTATTACATCACTCTAGTTCTATATTCTTTGAATTTATTATTCCTATATCTAAATGAGTTCAGAAATAAGTAGAAAGAATATTTTATAAGAATAATATATTTATGTTATAATTATTCATCACTTTAGTATTTTTGTTTAGCTAAATTCATCTTCATATATTAACATATTTTTTATATCAACTTTATTACATAAAAATATTTATTAATATTATATTATTTAAAAAAATTTATAATTTTATCTGTAATTTCCCTTTAGAATATATTACTATAATTTTCATAGTCAATCAAGTGATAAAAGAAGAATTATAATTTTTTAAGAAAGATTTGAGATAAATAATTTATAATACTATTGCTTCTATAAAAAATCTATATAGAAAGAATTCTGAAAAATATAAAAAACTTAATAAAATTTTATTTAAGATTAGTTATTTTTAAAGATAATAGTTATAATTATTATATTGTAATATTTATATTGCAACTATATATTGCAACTTATTAAAAAATTTAATAAAAATTACAACTTATCATAATTTATTATAAGTTATAATTTATCACAACTTATTGTAACTTGTTATAATTTATTATAACTTATTATATATAATTTGCTATAACTTACTATAGCTTATCATAACTTATTATAATATATTATAATTTATTATAATAATATTTTAAAGTTAAATAATTTCTTATTAAAATATAAGTAAAAAATATATTTATTATTATTTTTTTAGAAATTATACTTAAATATCTTTAAATATTTATTTAAAATTTAATATTTATATATTAAAATATATTTAATAACTTTATTTAATATTATATTTTAA